TTTATACATATATATATATATATATATATATATATATATTTATATATTATATAAATAAAAAATAAAAATAAAAAAAATTTATGTTTACAGGGTATCGAACCCGGAGGTGATAGCGGCGGCTCAGCGCAAGCTGTGTCCCCCGTTGATAATAAAAAATAATAAAAATAATAAAAAAAATAAAAATAATAAAAATAATAAAAATAAGTGGATAAGTATAACAAAAACTTTATTATATTTATTTTTAATTTATTTTTATTTATTTTTATTTATTTTTATTAATTTTTATTAATTTTAATTAATTTTTTTTTTTTTTATGTTTGCAGGGTATCGAACCCGGAGGTGATAGCAGCAGCTCAGCGCAAGCTGTGTCCCCCGCTTATAACTTTACTTTCATCTGAAGCAGAGCTGCAGTTTGTTGTTCTCCGCAACATTCAACTCATCGTACGCAAACGGCCTTCTATTCTAGCCAATGAAGTTAAGGTATTTATACTTTGCTGCTGCTGCTGCTGCTGCTGCTGCTGTAGTGGTGGTGGTGGTGCTGCTGTTGTGTTGGTGCTGCTGTGCTGCTGCTGCTGCTGCTGCTGCTGCGGTGGTGCTGCTGTGCTGGTTCTGCTCCTGCAGCTGTGTTGGTGCTGCTGCTGTGTCATTTCTGCTGCTGGCGCTGCTGTTGCTGCTGCTGTGTTGGTGCTGCTACTGTTGCTGCAGCAGCAGCAGCTGCTGCTGTGTTGGTGCTACTGCTGCTGCTGTGTTGGTGCTGCTGCTGCTGTGTTGGTGCTGCTGCTGTTGTGCTGGTGCTGCTGCTGCTGTCTTGGTGCTGCTGTTGCTGTCTCCATGTTGCTGCTGCTGTTTTGGTGCTGCTGGCAGTGCTGTTTCTGTTGCTGCAGCAGCTGCTGCTGCTGCTGTGTTGGTGCTGCTGCTGCTGCTGCATGTGCTTGTGTTGCTTCGGCGCTGCATGTTTTGCTGCTGCTGCTTCTGTTGCTGCTGCTGCTTCTGTTGCTGTTGCCGCTTCTGTTGCTGCTGCTGCTTCTGTTGCTGCTGCTGCTTCTGTTGCTGCTGCTGCTCTGATGATAGCTGCTGTTGCTTCTCTCCTGCTGCTGCTGCTGTCATGGGGTGTATTTGTACATATACATATACATATACATATACATATACATATATATATATATATATATATATATATATATATATA